GCTCACTGGCGTGTCTACCGGCGGCCCCGGCCCCCTCCCCCTCCCTCCCCGACGGCGGCCCCCCGCGACCTTGGCGGAAGAGAGCGAGAGGGGGCCGCGGAGGGAGGGAGGGAGGGGAAGGGGGGCTCTGGTCATGTGCCTCACACGACGGCCAGCCCGGCTCAGCCTGCTCGGCTTGTGTCTGCAACGCCACTTTTGTTTATCTGGGTGGATGCACTACCGTGCCGCCCTGCAGTTGTCCACGCTGTTTATCACTGTATCGGCTGGCCGCTGCCTTTGGCAGGTGCCGCACCAGTGACCTGGTTACTGGCGGCTCACCGCGGAAGATCCTGCAGCTTCTTCGCTATCCTGGTCGCCGTGATGGCAGACACCGTCGCGGACCACGAGGACGGCGTGCGTCGTGCTGGCAGCAGTTGACAGCGCTGACGAGACGGCGGACAGCCTCGTCGTGTCTACGGTGTCTATGAGGGCGACGCGGAGGAGGGCCACCGCGGACTCCGATCAGTACAGCGTCGACTTTGAAGCGCCAAGCCAACCTTGTCATCCGGTCAGCGCACCGAGGCGTAGTTGACGGCGCCGCCACCGACTCCAGACTAGAGCGCGCGGCGATCGCAAGTCGTTGGCGGCGGCCTTCCTCTATCGCAGAGTCCCGACAGTGTCGCGGTACAGTGCCGCACCGACGCGCTGGCCACCAGGAAGGCCCGCTGAGAATGGGGTCCGCCTCCGTCGGGGGCCTCGTCATGGACGCCGCCATGGACGTGGACGACGTGATGCAGGCCTCCTCCGAGAGCACCCTGGTGCTGCTGGACGACGAGTACGAGCCCAGAGGAGTGCACATCTGGGAGACGGAACTCAACGACTTCGTGGTGCTTTACGTTGTCAAAGGTAACCGGAGGCAACAACTGCGCCAGCTGCCTCATTGATATTAGTTTCTGAGGTCTGGCAACCTCGCCGCGTTTTGACTGAGTTGGAGAGACAGAGCGGTCTCAGGAAGGTCACTGTGGTGGACGTAGCGGTGCCGAACTAGTCACGAGCTACAGCTTTCCCGCCAAAAGGAGGCGTCCCGATTGGCTACCGGACTGCCGTAGTATTGAGATCGGACAGTCGTGTGGGCAGGGAAATGGGCGACGGATAACTGGTATTCTGCGTTGAAATCCGTTACTTTTAACTGTGTATCACAACCAGTAAACAGGAAGAAGTCTCTTTGAGACGTCTACCAACGTCTCTTTCTAATCGTTATCCATTATTTGAGAAGTTTAAGCGTATAACCGAAACCCTGATCACATTAATCTAACTAATCATTTGAAAACTTTAACTTGCGCTGCCCATTCGGATTCTCACGATTGCCGATGATCTGTCACGGTCGGTCAAGGTCACGCGGTGATTCACTTTGAAACGAAATTGAATGCGGCACAGATATTTAAATGAGTGCGACCCTCAATGACGTACAGTGTCGGTGAGTCAACGGCTGGCCAATCACCGGCCTCCGTTCGAAATCTTTCCTCCTGCTATCTCATTGGCGGCTCCCCGCACGGTTGACACCGTTGACACTCTGACTTGGCACGCTTACACTGTTAACTTTTTTGCCATGTGTTCGTTATACATACAATTTTGTGCCAACGTGATGACGGATTTGCCTAGTAATACAGATTATTTCACCCGTACATCGATTTCTTCGTGCGTTCCTCACCTTACGGATAATTTTGTTCGTACTTTACAGGCACGAATTGAATATCTTTTGTAATCTGTTTTATAAGATTAATCTATTCGTAATTATGTTTGCCCGAATTCGTCTATTAATGCTATCTGTGAGTTTCGAGTGTATTATAATAGTGATACGAATAGTTTTTTGTGTATAGTGGGTCCCCAGTGGGTCTCACCCCCAGTAGTGGGTCGCTGACCGGAGTGACGTCATGGATTAAAAAGAGTTGGCCTCAGTTTGAAACGGTGCCAGAGCCCGGCTCAGTGCGCGGGCCCCCTTTCCAACCCCAGTGCCTGTGAGGTCCCTATTTTATACCCAGAGAAATGAAAAGTAGTTGGTACCTTTTTAGGTTTTGCTAGGACGGTTACGCGGTCACCATGAAATCTAAGCACATTCTTACTGCACAACTTCTTTCCTGAAACTGGAATCTGTCCATGCTGATAGTGTCTTCTACTTTTAGACTTGATCTTAAAAACGCGAGTTCCACTTACTGTATTGTAAGTCCACTCGATGTCTATAACCGACGTGGTTTCGACCACTACTCATCCCTCACTAAGCCGTAGACTCACTGAAGCCTCTGAGTCACACTTTTTGACGGGTGGCCCCCTTAGGCCACTCCCGAAAGGGCTCATCCGGTCTCCGTCTTCGACCTGCGAAAAAAAGGAAAGGCAAAGGCACCCTGCTATCTGCGTCGCTGGGCCGCATTGCCGCATCCGATAAGATTTCCAAGTTGGCGTTTGGTCTGGACTGCCCGCGGCTGCGACCAAGAAAGGCCTGTGGACCCAAATTGGGTTAGTTAGCAATTGCTTTTCAAGGCTTCTGACTGATCAATCGCTCGTTACCGTGACGAAGCCACTGATCGACTGGAGAGAGAGGGGGGGGGAGTAATTATTCTGGCAATCGCCTTGATGGCTGCGTAATTTCTTGTCAACTGAAACTTCTCTCCTTATAGTGCCCTTTTGCCGTCCCGTTCGTCGTCTAACTCTCTATCAATCTGACAACAATTTTGTTTCCCTTTATTTTTGGGCGATAGCGAAGCCATACACTCAATTGATGCCGACCAGCGCGCCCCGTGACACACACACACATCGTTTGTTTCCTTTTGTTTTGTTTTTATTTAGATTTTGAAGGTCGAAAGCCACCGCTGCATTTGCCATACGATAAGGTCTATCGCGCTGTGCTTGCACCGATTCCGTCTCTCTTCCGCCCCTCTCTCCCTCCGTCGGGGCGGCTCGGCCCGTTTCCCGAAGACGTCTCCGCCGCCCGAGCGCCGTGTCGCCGCGGCCGCCTGGTCACGATATGTTAGTACTACGCGCGCCGCGCCCTACACTGTGCCGCCCGAGGCCCGTCGCGCCGCCGGCCTTACCATCGGCCGCACCGTCGGCGCCAACATCGCCGGACCTGCCACTTTTCTCACTTTTCCGAACAAGTACTCACACCCAAGGCCTCACTATCTTCGGGAGGGACACACCATCATCAAGAGAGCCTCACCGTCTTCAGCACAGCCTCACCATCTTCAGGAGTAGCCCACCAACTTCAGGATACCCTCACCATCTTCAAGAGTAGCCCACCAACTTCAGGATACCCTCACCATCTTTAGAAGAGAGCCACTGTCTGCTGGAGAGCCTCGGCATCTACTGGAGAGCGTCAACTTTTACAATAGACACTCCTAAATCTGGAGGAGAGCTTCACCATCTTCTGGAAAGCCTCATCATCTGTAGGAGAGACTAACTATCGTCAATAGAATCTCACTATCTTCAAGAGAGACGCCATCTTCAAGAGAGACACCATCTCCAGGAAAGCCTCGCCATCTCAGAGCTCATCACCGGGAAAGCCTTACCATCTTCACACCTTGAAGAAAGCCTCGCCATCTCCGAGCCTGACCACCTGGGAATAACTCACCACCCCGGCGCCTCGCCGGGGACGAAACTTGCCACCCAGGCCGGCGCCTCCCCGCCCGCGCGCAGCTTGCCTCGTCCCCAAACAACATGAAGCCCTTCTTGAGCGGGTGGGGCGCCCTGTACACTGCCGTCTCTGGGCCTGCTGACCAGGGCCGGCGCCGCACAGTGTCGTACCCCTTCGCGACCCCGATGGGTCCCAGCCGCCTACACCGAAAGCGTCCCCGCGCACCGTCCACCAGCGAGCAGCCCCCGGACTCCCCCACTGGGGGGCCCACCAGCGGACCCACCAGTGGACCCACCGCCCCGACGCCACGTGGTAAAGCAAAAGTGTGTTGCGGGACGTGACCAGCGCCGAGTCGTTGACACGTGCACCACGCTACACTGTGAGGAATGGTTCTGCCTCGTCTCATTATCGCGTTGGAATGTCGTTGTTTGCTCGAAGGGACCTTCTTTGCCGGTTGGAGATGGATGAACACACCAAATGCTTATGGACTTTTGTGACGTATCTGTGCAAGTGGCAGTTACGTACAAATTTGTACGTAAATTAGGTACAGCTTAGCACAATATGAAAACAGAGACCCTAATTTATGTATCAATTTGCACATAGCTCACGTACGACTCGGTTCATAGTTATGGGCGGTAGAAGTACATGAACATTCAGTGTGTGTGAAGATGCAAAACTTAATTTGAGGTGACTTGAGAAAGTGGTCCGTGCTGAAAGTCTTGCGAATTTGAAACGAAACTGGATGAACAAGCGTGACGCGTCGGTCGCACGCACATGGCTGTCTTGTTTTGAACATCAGTTGACACTCAACTTAGCAGAATCCTAAAGGGTTGACTCCGTTTGCTTTGGCTCGAGTCCTTTCTGAAAACAAAGCGTGTTTTTATTTGCGACCAGTAGCACGATGTCTCTGCGCAAATGCCTCGCCAACGGCGGGTACAGTGCCAACTTGTGATGATGCACTTAAATAGAGGCGCCTTGCTTTTGTCCAATTCATGGCGTTATCGATAAATTGCCAATCTCTAAAAATAAAACAAAGAAAAACGAAAGTGTGCCGTCTTGTTCAATACTCTGTTGCGATCTTGTTTGCGATACGGAATGTGACACGAGTAGTACAGGAGGACTGCACAACAGGTGCAGAGTCTGTGCGTCCACCTTCGTGCGCAACTAATTTTAAAATGAAGCACCTGCAAACACGGCTCGCACTCATTCAGGATGCTAGAAGATGATGGTGATGAGAATGATGATGATGATGATGATGACCTAGGAAACAATCTTGTCCGATACTTTCTTTCCCCATCCTTCCATGTTGAAGTCGAGCCAAAACCAAACTAATGCTAGTCCTTGCTCTTGATGTGTGCCTCGTTTTAACGCTGTTGTGTTCTCTCTTTTGCAGACTCAGATGGCGCGAGCGGCTCTAGCAGGGACCCATCGGACAAGAAGATGGGGCGTCACCTACAGCCCCTTAACACCATCACCTACACGGTAAGGAGAAAGCTCCCGTCTGGGAGTTGGGTTGTGCTTTGGCACGGACGGATCATTCAATCCCGGACGATTTTTCTAGGGCGTGTATTCTAGATAGCAATCTTAGCCTAGGCATTTTTCCCAAATCCCTTCTTTCTTCGGCCAACGAAAACCATCAGGCTCGTGTGTGAGCGAAATACTGTCGAAAAGACTGAATTGTGAAGTTTGGTGGGTGTGGCCACGCGGTACGTCTAGGGGGTGGGCCGAGGGGTGGGCGGTGCCCAAGCAACACTGCCTGGCCCAACATGGACTGTCCCGCGAAGAAGGGAAGGAATGGTGCGCATGTACGGAAAGGAACTTGTTTGTATTTAGCCCGCCATTGTTCTGGGCCACCCGGAAGGGAGGGGAGGGAGAAGGGCAGGAAACGGAGGAAGGGGCGAGGGAGCAGGGAAGCAAGGCAAACGGGGAGGAAAGAGGAAAGAGGGACAAGGGGGTTGCAGGAGAGGAGGGGACGCTACTGCGAGCTCTTCCTTCATTCCTGTGAAAAAGTCTCGTCCCAACAATCTTCATGAAACCGGAGGCTCCGGCTGGGGATGGGACTCGCTTCCGCCCTTACAATGCCCCCCCCCTTCCCCCTCCCCCTGGCCCCGCCTGCCCCGGAGTGGCTCATGACGTCACAGACAGACCCGTCTGCGGGGCGCCCCGTGGTCCAGAGTCAAGCCTCGGCCGATAATCGGCTCAGCGATGTCGAAAACCGCCACCATCAGTGTCCCTTGACTGCCGTCGTGCACTCTCAAAACGTCTCAAGACCTTAAAAATTGTGTCAGGCCCTAACGTAGCGTGTACAGACAATATAAGCTCACTGAAAATACCAGGTAGCTTGCGAACTAATATCCTAGTTTACTCCAACTACTTCTTGAGGTGGTGCGCGTGTTTAGGGGTGGGCGACTCGCGGTGTATGCCCGGCTTGAAATCGCGCTGACGTGTTCTTTCAAAAGACTGTGTCACCAGCGGTCAACTTGCCATTGATTGGTTTCGATTTTGCGGAAAAGGGGGAAAACCCTTCGACCCGCATCGATAATTCACTAAGTCTGCGTGCGTCCTTTCGACGGCCCAGTCAGTCCCCCAGCCGCCCTCCAATCGATAGAGGGCTCGTCCTTTTGGGGGAGGGGGAGGGGGCGCGGGATCGGGATCGGGCCGAGGATTGAAGGAAAGGGAAAGGGAGCAGTGCGGAGCTGTGCCAAGAGCAAGGTCAGGGCTGTCTATGGATCGCCACTTGTCGAGACGACTTTGACGTGCTCGGGTAGATAAGGGGGAGGGGGGCAAAACGTGCAAGCACACGCGCGCACACGTGTTGTTTATAAAATTTCTCGAATCCACTTCGCGGAGTCCGCTTTATTACCTTACGAAGTATTTTGAGCACATGTAAAGTACGATTTAGTTTTTTATGCGAAGAAATACCCCCATCCCTTTGCCCACCCCTATCCCTTTGCCCACCCCTATCCCTTTGCCCACCCCTGTCCCTTTGCCCACCCCTGTCCCTTTGCCCACCACTATCCCTTCACCCACCCCTATCCCTTTGCCCACCCATATCCCTTTGCCCACCACTATCCCTTCACCCACCCCTATCCCTTTGCCCACCCATATCCCTTTGCCCACCACTATCCCTTCACCCACCCCTATCCCTTTGCCCACCCCCATCTCTTTGCCCACCCCCATCCGCCCCCATCTCTTTGCCCATCCAACCCCGTCGCCAACACCACATTCCATGGCAGCTTAGCTTCTTGAGTCTGCAACAATTTACTGCGCACTCGCACGTCGGACGTACAGCCATGTCGTAGCGCACCCGAAGCACTCCGTGTATCTTTATACTGTGCCGTAAACTTGACGGTGTACCAGTCGCGTTCCCTGCAGGGCATGCCCGGCGTCCAGTCCTCAGGCAGGCAGTAATATGCAAACGGCTGCCTTTCTGTGGTCACCCGCCCCGAATAGGGACCGCTATCTCGGACTACGTACGGCTAGTGCTGTGTGCGTTGACCCCGCTGCCACCCCAGACAGACAGGCAGGCAGACAGACAGGCAGTCTTGTCTAGCCGCCCCCAAGCCGAGCCCCCTGCCGGGCGCCACTTTGGCTGCGTGCGTTTGCGTCGCCGCGTCGTCGCCGCGTGGCGTGGCACGGCGTGGCGCCGCCGTTGGCTGGAGAGCGATGGACGAGGGAGAAGTCTCGCCATGTCCGCTGTTCGGGAAGGTCAGGGACCGGCCAGGACCGCCCTTTCGTCGCTCTGTCTCTCTCGCACGCCCAAGATGGCACTCCATAAGAGAGAGAATAGCAAATCCATCGCCATTTTTTCCCCTGGCGCCACCGCGGCGTCCGAACGCTGAGCCAAGAGGGCGATGTGTGGCCGATAACAAACACACGGGGTGGAGGGGGTGAGGAGGAGTGCTTGCTCAACAAGTTCCGATGATTAAGTTGCTCGCAACACACTCCCTCCAAAAACGCCTGTCCGGCCTGCCTCTTTCGACAAGGGGGAGAGACACCGCACTGTCTGCAAGCTTTCCCAAGGGCGTAAAGCGATTCTCGCTGCGCCAGGGGCATAAATCGTTTACGCCCTGTGAGGGCATAGTTTTTATGCCTTTGTTTCACCAATGTCGTTGATCCCTCCTCGTGCAAAGTGGAGGTGGCTTGCAACTTGACCCAAGGGGAAATAACTCCAGCCTAATTTGTACACCGAAATTAATCAAACTTTTAAAATTTACTGAAATTCATCAAAATTTATCGAAATTCGATTGAAATTCATCAAAATTTGGCTGAAATTCATCGGATTCGTACACCGAAATTCAGTGATTTGACTTGACCGACAACGTGTGTTGACTTTCTGTTCCTCCTGCTGCAGGTGAAGGCCTCGGACACGCTGACGTCCGTGGCCGCCCGCTTCGACACGACGCCGTCCGAGCTGGCCAAGATGAACCGGCTGGCGACGCGGCTCGTCTTCCCCGGCCAGGTGCTGTTCGTGCCGGACAAGAAGGGCGCCAAGCAGGCCCCGGGCGCCACCCTGGACACGTCCCTCGACGGCCAGGACTCGGAGGGCGCCGAGGACGGCGACGCGTCGTCGCCCAAGCCGTCGTCTGGCGACGCCCCGGAGCACCAAGGTACGCAGTCATTTCGCAAAGTTTGTATGTGGACCTTAGGCAGCCCTGCATGCTGGGCTGTGCGGCGGTGCAGCCTATCCTTGACTTGACGGGCGCTGAGGCATTTCGGGCCCGCCAACCAACCACTGCCCTGGGCAAATACAGGTCATTCCTGCTCAAGGTAAATCAGCTAAATTGAACGAACCTAAAGCATCCCGTCAAGTAAATTCTGCGTGAAGTCTGACGATGGTGAGTCTTCCGTTAATTCAATGAAGCTTCTCTGCCCGGAACCCTGGAGAAAATGCGAGAGCCTGGAGCGGGAGGGGGAGGGAAGTGGGAGGAGACGACGCATGGCTTGGCTGGCCAATAATAGCGCTGCATTTCATGCTGTTAATGCAATATAAAACTTTTCGCCAAGACTGGCTTTTGACGAGTCCACTTTCACGATAAATGACGAATGCTACTTACCTTGACATGTAGAGTGCTGAGGATAGGCCCGAGCGGTTCTTTACCACCGTCTCTGTGGTGGTATTGGATCAGCTGTCATTTTGAGGTTATGTGCCTAGTTGTTTACTTTGCTATGCAGCGGCTCAGCTGGGGCTGAGGTCTTGTCCTGGCCCCACGTCGTAGCTGTCTAGTTCATTTTGATTGCTCCATGACCTCTCGGCTCCATATTTAACATGTTTTCGCGATTTCGGCGAGATTCGCGTGGCTCAAACGGCAAATGTTGGAAACGGTCTCGCGAGATTGGGTGCACTGTGACCTACACTGCTAGACCTAGTGACGGTAAATGCTTTATTTTTTTCTGACAGTAGTGTTGTGATATTTTTGACAGTCTTTGTTTTCTACATAATGCGTTAGATATGCTCATTTTCGCCATTTAAACCAAGTCCCTAGTATTTTAGATGTATTTTATGCTGCCACTTTCTGAAAGTCAAAAAATATTCATACAATTCTTTAAATTCAAACACCAAATACTGATTGCTGTGTCTGCTTCTTCTGATCTGTCATCTCATTGCCATTTATTTCCTGTAACTTAAGGTCTGCTGATCATGGCAATGAGACTTAGGAACATGAATCTGTCAAAGAGAGAGCGAACTTGTGCTAAGCTTTCTGTTTTTCACGTTACAGAAGGCCGCATATCATCTGGTGGTCCAGGGCGTGCAGAGAGGATAGGGGAGCACAGCATTCATGCTCCAACACGCTCACGAGATCTGGAACGTTTCCTCAAGATCACTGTTCGTCATATTACCGATGGACAGGTAAAACCTTATTTTGGTTTGCCTATATTTTTCCGGTGGTTGTTTGTATCTGCTCACATTTGTTTTACTTGCTGTGTTTCAGGGTGTTGTTAGTGGAGTCCTTCTTGTGACTCCAAATGCTGTGATGTTTGACCCTAATGTATCAGACCAGCTAGTTATTGAGCATGGTCCTGAATCGTACGGAGTAATAGCACCAATGGAGTTCGTTGTAAATGCTGCTATATATTATGATATTGCTCATATGAGGGTTGGCAATTCAGATGCACCAAAGTAAGTCCAGTGCCTATGTTTCATCACTAGTTACGAGATGTTTAAGGAAGTTGTGTTGTGTTACTAATTTGATCCTCTTTTCAATTTGCAGAGGAGATGCTACCAAACCAGAAATTTATCACCCTAAAGACAGTAAATCTGCAAAGGATGCTGAAACCCATGGTGTTGATGACAGTTCAATTTCACCAGGAAAAGAGTCATTACTAGTCAAGGATGAGACGTTCCCAGAGCTGGCTCCTGGAAGGTTGTCCACAGAGGTGCGTTGTACACTTATTTAAATGAAGCAGGCTCAGGTGCTTAGACACTTATGTGGTGTTGCTTGTTTGAGTGAGTCAAGTATATTATCTATTCACTTAAATTAGTTATCAAGGATTAGTAAAGTAAAGATTTTGAATTACATTCTTTGAAGCAACCTTTGCTCTCTCATAGTTTTTTGAAATCATGGCGTGGGTTTAGGTTTGGTATATGTGAACGTAACTACCTTGATGCGCCTTGATATGAGCCATGATGTAGGTCATAAAAGCGGTGGTGTCATCCTTCTTTGCCTGCCAGCTCTTTTAATCATTTGCTATGTTATTCTTGATTATTGCAGGAGGATGACGGTGGTGAGAACGGAGACAATGAGAGTGAGAGTTCCTTTCCTGCTGGTCGGGAGGGGAGTGCTTTCCCTAAGGCGTTTGAGCGTGATTTAGTGACACCAACCAATTTAACAGTGTCACAAAATACAAGTCGCCAGACGTCTGTAGAAGAAAATGTGTCACAAGATTTGTTAAAGGACACATCTCTTGAAGAAAAGAAGGATGGGGAAAGATCAGTTAGCATGGAGTAAGTTGCATTTGTTTCTTCATTGTATACAAGTGTATGCAAGTTGCATCCTAAAATTTGTGCACTGACAATAATAATTTTCTTAAGGAGTTCTGGGGATGAAGCCTACACAATGATTCGGAAAATGGAGCAACGGAGGATGTCATCTCTGGACCATCATTGGGCTGTTCCGAAGCAGAAGGGGAGCCAGGACAGCAAGGACGGAGACGGGGAGGTAGACACCAAAACTAAAGATGACCTGTGCCATGTCTTAGCTGAAACAGCTGAAGGGTTGGATGAACAGAGGGGGAATGGAAACCTCATCAAATCCTCTTGTCATGATTCTGGCATCGATATCCGTGATGCAGATCAGCCCCCACTGCCTCCTATCATCCCATGTACTAAAAAGGTAGTAATTCAATCTTTTTTAATGACTGTGAGGTGGAGACTGTGCTCCTACTAACTTCTGTGGTGATTTGACAAATCTTTATCACTAACTAACCAAGTAAGTTCTGTTCATATGTGGTCCAGTAATCTTCAATTCATGGGATGGGGTGATGAGGTTTGAGAATTCATCAATTGGTCCTGTTCACTAACCCTTTGCATCTGCTTTCGTAGTTAGTGGTTTCAAGGGAATCACTTCTGCATTTATTTTACTTAACTTTCCATGACTGTTTGTTTGGCTGTTGATTTTTGTTTGTTTTGCATGTACTGTATGTAGACTTGATGAAAATTTCAAAATGACACTCTTATTCTCAATGTGGGCATGTGGGAACAGCAGTGGTTCATTTTGATTGCCTCCTTTCTTTTCATTTGTCATTATCTATACTTAATCTTAAAACAAAACTGCATGGGTTCATATGTCTGATATCAATGTGTATCGTATTCACATTATTGATTAATTTTTTTGCTTTATCTGAGGCTGATCAGAGTTAATGTAAACTAACTTGATCCTGTTCATGCTGGAAGAGGTTTCTTTCAAATACTAACTTTGTTGTATTTCCTTTTGCAGGTTTTCTCTGATGCAGACATAGTCATGGCATCAAAGAATGACTTTGTACCTCCCATAACGGTTGCCCCCACTAACTACTTAACAGAACTCGAGCAACAATCTAGTGATGATGCTGCCATATCAGGATCCATGTTAGCTGCTGCTCCTACGTCAAGGAAGAAGACTTCTTCAGTCTCCTTTTCAGTTGATGATGAAGGAAAAGAGGGGAAAGAAAACAAAGAAGAAGATGCAGACAAGCAGGAAAGCCGTAAAAATAAGGTTTGTTCTGGTTGGATCTGAGAAACTTCTCCTTCTTGTATAATTGCTTCTGTCATTAACTTAATATCTGTTAAATTAGGTGTTAAAGAGGTTATCATATCCCTTGGCCTGGATGGAGGGATTCACTGGTGATAAGGATGAGAAGGATTCTCTCCCCGGCCTACCTTCTTCTGCGGATTCTCAATCCCAGCACTCATCAGTGTTCTCAAAAGTATTTTCTAGGTAAGTTTGGATCAACTAATGTGGATCAGTAAGGTTTTAAGTGGCATCATAATCAAGAACCAGAGAGTACCTTCAGTAAAAATTTGACTTTAGCTCACCTCCAATTAAATTTAATTAAGAAGTACAGTATGTGGAGCTGTGTTTGATTGTGAAAGTAGTTATTTTTTTTTGTTCTTTTACAACATTTCTGATACAGTATTTTGGTTCATATCTGCTGATGATGTTGTGTTGAATGTGTTCAATTTGTCAATGTAGCTGCTGATTAATATAATTATGATGCCATTCTGCTGTGAATTTTAACTTGGATGTGAATACTAATAATGCTAACTTACTGAGTTAATTGGTGTGAATGTTTGTGCTGTACATAATCTGGGTTGGTTTTTCGATTGTAAGAATCTTCTTTGAGTTCTCTATCAAAAGTAATGGGATGTCCTTTTCTCTGTCAACTTCTACTTTCAAGATCCTGTTTTTTTGTGTGATTATTGAGAAAATTTCCATGGTCTCTCTCTATTTTATGGATTTTAGCATTTTCATTTTTAAGGGCTTCTGTATAATTTATTTTTGTTTTTATTTTCAAGATGCTACTTTCTACTTTTATAGTTTCAATCAGGTCAGGCTTGCTTGCACCGGCACAAGCTTAGTTAATTGATATATTCATTTTTTCAGTCTGATACCACAGAATCTGATCATCTGAATAGCATCTACACCTTGCCCAAATCCCCTGTTTTTATTTTTGTTCATGATGTGTGATCTACTGAGAACTTTCCATGAACTGAATGGTCTCTTTTCAAATGCAAGTTTGGGGTACTTGCTTACATTGGTTGCATGGTTAAAGTTTACATCCTAAAGAAATTTTATCTCATGGTTGCATACACAATCATCCCTACCTTTCCAACCTCATTTTCATTTCTGCACTCTTTCTTAGGTCTATGTCTAAAGATATTCAAAATGCAACGTAAGTGGCCCAAACTACTCTTCATGTAACAAGAGAAATTAAGCTGTAGATTAAAGCAGTGCAAGAGCATAGCTTAGTTAGTTCATACTAGTTCGTTACTTGCCGTATCATATGTGGCTCTTATTTTATAAATTACTGAATGAATTGTTAGAATTGGGACCACAAGCTATGAGAGCAGGGTGTTGTTGAGGCATATGCTAGCCCTGAAAGTCTCATATTTGTGACATGATTTTTGTCTACTGCGCATTAGATTCTGAGCAGTTAAGCTGAGGAATGCATGCGCATCAGTATTTTTGGGAAAGCGCTTAAACTGGTTGAGCAGTTGCCAAAATTTACTTCAGTATAAAAATGTTTTATTTTCTTTCTTATTCAGCCATGTGAATGGTGAATGAATTTTTCAACATTGTATTCTCCAAGAAGGATTTCTCAGTAAAGTAACTGCTCCATTGCTTTCTGGACAAGCGCCTCAATTATGTCATTTGCTGGTGATAAGCTTGAGGCGCTCTGCTGGCATTTTGCAGCGCAAATATTACGTTTCCCTCTCCTCCCCATGTCCTTCCCTTTTTTTCTTGTTTAGTTTGTACTGATCATCCCTTTCTTTGATCATGCTTTGATGACTCGAATTTTTCGTCTTTGAAATGCATCGTAACTTTTAACTGACAGTTCGCCAATCAATCTGGTGTCGGACTTTGGATCGGGACTCTTCTTGATGAAAACTCCTAGCGAAGAGAGTGGGGGCTCGGGCGGCACAAGGGGAGCGTCTCCAGGGCCTCCGCAGACGCCTGGGCTTGGCCCCACGGATGCACCCCCCGCACCCCCCGCACCCCCGAGCCCAGAAATAAGAGAAGTGCTAAAGGAGGGCATTGAAACAGGATTTTCTGTGGTTGGTAACACGGCCACGTCAATTATCAGTAGCGTTAGTAATGTCGGGTAAGTGTGGGAGCCGTATTTTTAAAAATGTATTTTAAATATCTTGATGTTGTGCCCATTGGATTCCCTTTCCCCCACATTTTCCTTCACCTAGTTTGCTGTTTGGAAACAAGCTCACTTAGGCTCAGCACTGTGGTTTTCTTTATGCGGTAGCATAAACTGTATACCAATGTGAAAGCATCAAACAATAGTCATTCTTTATTCAAATTGTTTTAGACGTTCCATAGAAGAACTAAGATCAGTTTGATGAGTATCATACATTTCCATGAGGGTTTTAAGGTTTTAGAGAGCCTGAGGCATTGTAAAGGTCTGACAGGACAAGAGGGGTGTGATATGCCATGGTCCACGGATGTGGAGTGTTTGTTGGTTGATGCTATACTGTCACTTAAAGAATTAAACAACGCTTTTATCTGCATGTTTTTAGTATACCTTATGCATGGTATGGTGTTTTGGTGATTTTCTTCCCCTTCAATATGTGTGCATTGCATGTGTTGAAGAGTACACGCGTAGTATGTGTGTCTGGATTAACAAGGTTGGCGCTTATATTAAAACTGTTAAAATCCAGATAAAAACTTAACTCATGTAAATCAACTGCTCTGAATGTGTGACTTTTTTTTTGTTTCTTCTTAGTGTTTGGGCATGTCTAAAGCCATTCGTCATAGTATACGGTATTCTAAAACTCAGTGATATTGATTATTTTTAGCCTTCCAAATGTTGTTGATTACCTTATGTTTAGCCCTCCCTTCTGTAGTGTATCAACATACTTCAAAGATAATGATACTTTGAATCTGAAAGGTTAATTTTTAACTGGGCAAGTGAAGCCTTGGCAGAATCCACAAACTTTTGCATGCTTTATGAAATCATAATGTAACAAAGAAGCCTTTGTTAGAGTGTGGTAGATGTCACAAAAGGCGTTTCATTTGATCCTCAAATGGCTGTAAGACTGAAGGCTTTGGTGAAATCAGGTGCAGCTGCTCGCTCATATGTATATATTTTGGGCATGTTTTAACGCTCTTGTTGTTTCTCTTTTGCATCTTTAGGAGGTCATCTGTGGGCACTTTCATCGGAAGACAACAGACTGAAACCAAGGAGCCAAAAGAGCGCAAGCCCCCTGCACCGAAGCTGGACATCAGGAGCATGGTTGATGTGGATGAAATGCCAGACCTCTTTCGCTCAATAGACCGTAAGTATGCTATGAACTGCTCTATGCTTCTAACTTTAACCACTAACAACATAAATTTTATGAAACAAGATCTTCACCGATAACACTCAACATAACATTTTTCTGATTGGAGCCTTTTAGTTAGATGTGAATAACCATAGTTTTATAGTTGGACTTCCGTCTCATAATATGTTGAGGAAATACTAAGAGGACATGTGTGTCCGTGTGAAGGTGCAAACTTTTTGGTGAATTGCCATGTAGAAATGTTCATTTGCTTCCCTGTTGTGCTTTGTTGCACCGCAATGCAGTTGAAGAATGGAACACTAAATGTTTAGTTTAGTTGTTAATGTATAGAGAGACTTTAGCTAGAGCAATAGGTTCAGTAACTCAATGAATAGGTCTTGTGATAGGGTGAATGTGGCTATGGATGTTTTTGTATGATTAGATGGATTCAATATGCTCTGATTTCAAAATCAAACTTAATGATTTGGTATTTTTCTACCCAGTTTTGTACATTATACAAACCATTTTTTCAGACATTTTGGTAAAATTAAATGTTTCAGTTTAATAAATTTATTATTCAAAGTTCTGTGTTCTTTGGGACACAGAAAGATGCTAAAGTAACGTAGAAAGGATTTATGTACCGGTATTTCTGTTTATGTACTGAGCCAAACCATGTTCTATAAGCCTCACTTTGAACCTGAAAGTTTTACCATCCATTAGTCACAAGTCATATTCCCACTACCACATCCCTTAAGGATGTTGTTGAGTTTGCAGATCAAAGATTGAAATCTGTTTTAATCTTCATGATGATTGCAGTACCTCTGTTGAGGGTCTTTTAGCGTAATTTTAAAGCATAGCTTAGATTTGTTGTTGTTGAGTGTTTTGACGCTCCCCTAAAGCAATAATTTAATCTTGTGCCATCCTTTTCCTTGTTTTCTTCCTCCTGCGATGTAGTCCATGCTCATGCTCCTAATTTTCCTCTACTTGATGGACTTGGTATGTGTTTAACAAAACTCCCATATTTACTAACTTTCATCCCGTGAATGTTTGCTTTGTGTGATACAATACAGATTTCTCTTCTTCTAGTCTTGTTTTAGATTGGTAAGAGTAGCTTTTTGTTTCTTTCCGTTTTTGAATCTTGGTAGACATTTGAGTGAGTTGCTTCATTACCATTACTTATATTTATTATTATGTATAATTTATTTTCTCGTACTACCTTTTTCCCTATTTTCTATATTTTCCAAAGGCCTTCAAAGGATTTAATAAGACTCTTACAAAATCCTGAGAACTGCTGCATTCTAGTGTATGCTTATGGATATTCATGCATTTATGGCAATGTACCTTTCCTTTCATTCTTTTCAGTACTTGACCTTTTTTAAGTGCATAGTTTAATTCTTCAATTTTGTAAAAAACAACCCATATGAAATGGTATACTGTAATCACATTGTGATACAGGCTATTTACTAGCTATTTGTCCTGTACTGTAATTGTTGTAGTTACCAAGTTTCTGTAGTTTGCATGTTGTCTGTGTGTGTGGTGCATGTTGCTCACAGGTTGAAGATCTTTATGGTTACCCATCCTTCATATTCATAAGACATGAGCATGGGAACAGTGAGTGTTGTATAGGATTTCATGCATACATTAATTTTTGTTTCACCACCATGGTTTTTTAAATTATTTTTTTTATTTTGGTGTTTTAAAAACTTAATTGATGTGTGGGCTTGTGTGCCATATTAAATGTTGATATAAATTCTAAAAGTTCAGAATAAAAAACAAACTACAAAACAAACAAGTTTTTTTAAATCATTTTGTTTAGCATTCTATGTGTATCATCTGTTTATCTTTTGTTGTATTGAATTAATTGTGAAAGTTCTCAAAATGCTCTGACTTTGTTTTGACTGATTCATTTCTTTTGTTTTATTAATGTTTTGTAGAATTAATACCTCAGCCAGCCCGATCATGTGAGGATCCTCCTTTGTACTTAAGGCTGAGGATGGGCAAACCTGTCAATAGAAAAATTCCCAAGTCAACACCCATTATGTCATATGGAAAGAAGAAAATGAGGCCAGAATATTGGTTTGGAATACCTCGAAACAGGTTTGTTCTTTTTTATCTCAAACTAGTTCATTTCCCATGAAATCTGCATGTGAAAGATTTGTCATTTGTTTTCTCTTTCTAGGGTGGATGATTTGTACAAGTTCCTGCACTTGTGGATTCCTCACTTGTACGGAGACTTAGAAGAAATGGACTACAAGTCTCGTGGTTATGAACTTGTGGAATCCGACACCGAATTGTGGGATGATGAGCCAGGAAGCGAGAGCCAAGGAGAAGGTGGTCGCAGAGGCAGCGATGAAGGCGAACTTGGAGAGCTTACCAGGGAATCTTGGGAGGTGAGTAACTTCGAGTTTCTCGTTTTCGATCCTTGCTGTTCTTGACATTGGTCCAATTGGCTATGTTCATGTTAGTCCCATATTCAGGAAGAAAATCTTCCTCATTTTTTCTCCAAGTTGTATTTTTTTTTTTAAATTAAATCCCTGAATCAAATGTGTGCTACGTGTATGTGTGTAAGGGAGTGTGGAGGAGTTCTAATACTGTTCTGTCTTGTCCGTTTTTTTTTAACTGTACCTTGCATAACATTGGGATCTTCTAAATAGATGGTGAAGGCCCCATATGCTAAGCTCTACAATATCATCAAGACTCAGACCATGTCTGCTGACTCAGAACAGTGTGATGAGGTGGGAATCAGCTCAATCCTTGGTTTCATTTGGCATGAAAAGGCTGTTCATTAGCTCAATTTCTGTGGTACAGTTCCTTCCACGAGATTGTGATCAAACTTCCATGTTGCATTTGTCTTGCCTCCAATTCAAGAAAGAATTGTTATTTTTGAGATGGTGCGGTGATAGCCTTTTCTTGTGAAATGAGACTCCTAGATGTCCATAGCCTTCACTGTTAGTTTAGCCTACATCTAGAGGAACTCCAAATTTTTCTTTCTGTTCTATTTTTTTGATGCTGATACCTTGAACATACCCTGTCCATTTTCCTCCTGCTTCTTATAGACTCCTTACATGTGTAGCTCTGTTGTGATCTGTGTCTTTCAGAAGAATGCCATATCAGTCAACAACTTTTAAATTTTGTTCAAAACGGACACTGATAAGGAAAGGTAGCCTTTCTCGATACGAAGTTACGGTTGGCCTGGTGATTGATTGACTGACTGATCACTGCAATTTTAGGTGTGTTGTTCTGTAGTAGTTGCACTGCCTGATTTTGTCTAGTCAACTGCTTCTGTTCATATGGATAGAAAAGGGTTTCGAGGTAAGCCTGTCTCTCTCCTCGAATCCAAGCTTCCTCTTGTGCTCCTGACGTGGTTCATTGACGACAAGTCACCCGGATTTTTGCCTGGATTTGCGACTTCGATTTCCAGACTTTTCGAAAAGGAGGAGGGGCATTGCACCTGTTCGATTTCCCACTTACAGTGCAGTGTACGTGTATTTACCGTTAGACTACCCCATTGAACTTTCGTAGGCTCAACGCAACTTTTGATCGGTTGTCGTAGATTTCACTGGTCTGACCTTGAAATCCGCCAATTTCAATTTCGTAATCGGAATGCTTAGTACTCAATGTTTTTGTCGTGTTAGCCTCTCGGATTGCTGTCGGCACCAACCCGCACTGCGTTCGCGGAAGCCTGTGGCTGTGTTTTGAATAGCGCCGGCTTTCTGCTCTCGTACCAGTTTGAACCGATCGCAACCGACAGTGCTTGTGGACGCGTGCGCGCTCACTGGGCGGGGTGAGGCAGTGGTGGACCTCCTCCAACCTCCCCTCCGCGCCTCGGCGCGTGTGGCTCGGACCCGCCGTAACGTTAGATTAAATGAACCATGCGACTTAAGCGTGGTGGCTACCTTGACCCTTTCTCGTTTGGCCAACCGGCCGTCGTGCAGTGTGCACTATTTCAAGCGCGTCGCCGCGCGTCGTGTCTTTGGTGAGGAATTTCCCAGAAACGTTAAATGGTTAGTGGGAAAGGGTGGATCCAGAGATGGGTCCAAAAAAGGGATCGCGAAAGTTGCTTACCTCAACGGCAAAGTGCGGTTTTATGTCCACCTGGCCGCCTTCGGTGACCCCTCCCCTCTGGGTGGGTCCGCGCCTTTTGCTAGTGCGCAGCCTCCCGCCTCGTGGGAAAGCAGACGCCGGCAAAACAATCAAAGGAAGAGAGGAAGCACTCTGCGTCCAATAAGCTTTGCGAGAAATGCCGGAACGTGCGAGCTTCGCACAGCGTCGTCCCAATGCCACTCGGCGTCCTCGCGCGCGTCCCTCCCTTCTTGCCGAGAAGAGCGCCTGCCTATACGATCATGTGTGGTCTAGCCCTTAATGGTAATGGTAATGTCGGGTAGGCAACTTGGGGTCCAGGGCGCAGCCGTGCACGGGCATTGCCTACCCGGGACTTTGCAGGCGCCTGCAGTTGCAAGGTCAGGCAACTTGGGGTCGTCATCGATAAAAACTTCGTCCATTTGTGATAAAAATTTCGTGAAATGATGATGAAAACTTAATCATTTCCAAGTGATGAATATGCCAGGCAAAATTTTGTCGTTGAGTGACAACAAGTTTCGACTGCGCGACAGTGCAGCGCGCGGGTCATCGGCCTTGCGGTGCCGCGGTGCCGCCGGTGCGTGGGTCGTGCGCCAGGGCCGGCCGCGCCACACTGGAAAACTCCAGCACGGCACCGCAACAAAAATAACGCCTTTTTTGTCGTACCCAGCGTGTCTGTGGGGCGGTAGTTCCGTGTTGGGTCGTTCCTCGTGAGTCTCTGGGCCAGTAGTTCCGTTCGGGGGGCCCCAATGCCTCGCGTCGCGTGCCTGGATCCCCGGCGTGCCCCGGCGTGCTTTGCGCGTCCGTCACGTCGATGCGCGCCGCGTGCGGTTCGTGTGCCGATTCTCACGTGCGCGCGCGTGAGCGCCACGGGTGCGTTTGGCGCTTCGTTTCGTTTCGCCTTTTTTGCGCTTGCACTGTCCCAAATTCCCCGCGCCTTTTTTTTTTTTTTGGAGTAGTTTATTTTTGCAACAGTGTCGGTACGCCGCGCGACGGGGCAGTCAGTGGGTGTGCCTCGAGGCGCTCACTGTAAGTGATGTGACACGCCCGCAGTGAAGTGCACGTAGTGCACGCGGCAGAGCGGTGGGCAAGGCCCGGCAAGGGTGTGTCATAACCGAACGAAAATTCCGCCTGGTCTCGACCGAATGTCTTTTCATGGTAGCTGCGAGTGCGTTTGTAAGACAGCATCCATTATTAAATCCAATTTCCCGCCCTAAGTTGTATTGAAGCTACCTTCAAACGTTTAAAACGTAATTCGTTAATTTCGACTTAATTTTTTTTTGTCGTTAAGTTGGCAGTTAGTGTTACGTAATAACTGTCCGCGTTTGTTTGCGGCCCGTCCGCGGCGCCCTTAATAGACATGGTCACACTTGCGTGTCCGTCGGGCCGCCTCCATGACCGAGTCCGTGACGCCGTCATGGACGCCGTTCGGGTCGTTGTTACGTCGCCATGCCGCCGGATTCGGCCCGGCCCGATTTGGGTCACTAAGCGCGCGCGCGCGTGAAAGTTTCTAACACGACGTTCAATTTTTTTTCGAAATAGCACTTTTGAACGTGAAAACTGTTGAACGACGTTTTTTCGGTCATGATTTGCGTAGCTCTGCGGCGCGCGGGGATTTTAAAAAAATAGTTTGTATGTTTGATTTTATGTCTTTTTTTTTTGTCTCAGCTTTCAGCTCGTCTTCCTGTCTATCTGTCAGTCTGTCTATACCTGCATGTCTGACTATCTCTGTCTTTCTCTATCTGTGTCTGTGCGCTCTTTCGTGAGGTACCTGTCTGTCTGTCTGTCTTGTCTTGCCTTTTGTTCCAGCTGTGCTGTATATATATACTCTTACTCATAATCTTATCTTTCTCACAGGGTATCTTAATGTGGTTTTTCTATCACCAGCTCTTTCATTTGCTGAGATGATGCATAATTTCAAAGAAGCTCGCAGCTTTTGTTATTTTTCCCGAGACGGAAATCATTTAATTTCAAAACATAAACTGCTGAGAATTGTCGAAAATATTTTCAAGCGTCCTCTAAATTCAAAGATGTTTCCCCTCGTTGTTTTTGCCTTTGTCGTCCTGTTTGACTTTCTGTGCTTCCTCTTTTTTCTTTTCTTCCCTTCTTTCTTCTCTTCTCTGAGTCTCCCTTCTCTCAACGTGCGTTCATTTTTAGTTTGGGTTAAGCAAGTGAAGTCAGGCAGGAGGGAACATTCTTCGTGGTCAAGTGAACTCGAGTTCAGAGACGTTGTTGATGTTCTCTATCAACAACAACAACAACAACAACAACAACACAAATTACTCCGTATGAAGGATAGTTCCTCGCGAACGGGGAGCGGGAGGTGGGTGGGTTAAGCGAAAGACGCGAAACCGTTTTCCGATTCTTGTCCGGGATTCATTATAAATTTTATAGTTTGGGTTTGATTTTCTGAACCCGATCTGGTCCCTTCTTGTCAGCCACACATGCGCACTCGGTCGCTTGACCTTGCATCGGATACTGGTGAGGTTACCCGCCGTGTCCCGGTGTGGCGGGGCGTGGCGGGGCGTGGCGGGGCGCCGGGTACTACGCGACCCGCGTTCGCGCAGTGATGACTCTGGCGCGGCGGAAGGGGGCCGAAAACAAGCAGCATGCACCACAGGCCGCACACAGAGCACGGCATCTTTGACGACTCAATTTTGGCAGGCCTTTTCGTGATCTGCCAAGCTTGCATTGGGAACCGTTGCGACAATTAACCCCCCGCCCCTTTCCCTCTCTTTCCGAGATCCGTGTTTGAATTTGTTCGCGGCTTGTGCACGGCCGGCCCCAAGCTGCTACACGCCGCGGGGGTGACCTTGGCAACTGGAGTCTTGTCCAGGAATAGATTTGTGTGTTGTGGTGCTTTGGCCGGCTTTGCCCTCGCTGCCTTTGTCAGCGGCCAGCCTTTCGGCAAAGTGCCCCACTGCCTGCAGAAGAGGAAAGGGGGAGGGGAGGGGGAGTCTCATCCGGCCGGCCGACCGTTTGCCTAGAGGCTTTTCGGCGCGGGATTTTCGCGGTGGGCCGCGCGACGCGCGCACAGTGGGCCAGAAGACCGGCGGAGGCGGTCCAAATCCCGGACGCGTTTCGAGCTCCAGAGCCGCTGAACGGGACTCGAACCGAACATCTACCTAAAACTACTAGACACACAAAGGGTCATAAAGATTTTGTTGTTGTTGTTGTTGTTGTTGTTGTTGTTGTACTGCGGTGCCATTGACGCCTCCCATGACACGCCGCCAGCGTGCGGTAGGGCCGGCAGGAATCCCGTGCGGCCTGCGGGCGGCGGGCGATACCGTCTGTATGACGTCACACACCACGGCGTCGCGGCGCTGAGCGGCCGAACGGCACCCGCGCCTGTTTTGGCGGGGATCCCCTGGGTCCCTCACCGCGCTCCCACGGGCTCCCCCAGGACTCCCATTCGGGCTCCCCTGGGCCCGGTGGTGATGATTCGCTCGTACAGCGCAGCTTCCGTCCAGCCAGGACCCCCCCCCCCATCTCGCCATAAAAATACACTCTAAATCTCTCCATGGACAGCAATTGTGTTGTCGCTGTCTGTTGACGTCTGAGAGCGAGCACGGCCGGCCCGGAATAGGGGCCAATTTTGTCACTTGTCCGTTTCAATTTTGGGAGCCGTACTTTCGTCTCACGGGCTACCCTTAGT